TGCAGCCCAATGGTGTCAATGTGGACTTCACAAGCTTCAAAATCTCCACACCCCCGACTTCATCCCAAAACCTGCCCAGCTCATCCCTGCCTCCTTGACCTGTCTGCCTTTTCTTCCGCCTATCCGCTCCTCCCACCTTACTGAACAACCCCCACCCCCACCTCCTACCTACCAGCCTCATGCCCACCTCCTTGACCTGTCCGTCTCCTCTCCACCTATCTGCTCCTTTATCCATCTTCCATCCGCCTCCCCCCTCTCTATTTATTTCAGAGTCCCCTTCCCCTCCCCCATTTCTGAAGAAGGGTCCAGACCTGAAACGTCAGCTTTCCTTCTCCTCTGACGCTGCTTGGCCTGCTGTGTTCATCCAGCTCTACACCTTGTTATCTCAGATTCTCCAGCATCGGTAGTTCCTACTATCTCTGGCAATACTTCTGTTCTGATCAAAGAATATTATTAAAATTCATTTTGCATAAATTTATTGTATGTATATGTACCTGAAATGAATTAAAACTAAGGTCTTTATACTTCTGTCTTGACTAACTATATAAAGTGTTATTAATTTTGCATCTGTTCGCAAATAATCTAGTCAATAAACATAAGCAGTTTGACAGTCAAAAGTATTAGACTGTACACATTTTTTGGAATTCACTTACTTAGAAGTAGGTGACATTTATTTAATTGTTAATTCTTCAAGGACTGTGCTTGCATATTAGCAGGAAATGCAGCTAAGAAGCAAGACAACATCTCTCCTCCAACCCCCTCCCCCATCAAGAATGCTAAGACCATGTAACTTTACCAAAAGTAAAGATAGATGCATAGAAAACGAGGAGTAGGAGTAGGCCTGTATGATCATAACTGATTCTCTATCTCAACGCTACACTCCTCCTTGTTCCCCATACCCTTTGATGCCCCTATCCCATGAATGAAATTTTTAAAAATCTGTTTCTTTCTTAAATATATTCAGTCACTTAAACTCCACAGCATTGAGTGGTAGAGAATTCCACATGTTCGCCACCCTCTAAGAAAATGAATTTTTTCTCATCTCAGTCCTAAATTGCCTACCTTGCATCCAGAGATTGTGATACCTTCTTCTAGATCCCCAGCTAGAAGAAACATCATTCCTGCACCCAGTCTGTCTGTCCAGCAGTATCAGAATTTTATGATTCAACAGATCCCCTCTTTCTTCTAAGCTGCAGTGAATACTGGCTAAATCAACCCAATCTCTCTTTATCCAACAATCTTGACTCTCAATAATCAGTCTGGTGGATTTTTGCACCACTCCCTCAATGGTAAGGTCCAAAGATGGATGTGCACAGAGACAGATTTCGCTTAAGTCAATGACACCAATTTTCCAAAACGTATCTTTTTTTCTTCCAAGGTGGAAGCCACACAGTCTTACAGTTTACAATCAATCCCAGAAGCTGCACTGACAGCTCAGTTAGTAAATGCAGCATTAACACACACAGATGGCAGAGACTTAATGCTGAGTTTTACATGACTTGTTAGGAATTGAAGGAAGGTGAAGCTGAGTTAATATTCAGACAACAGCAAGAAACTCAACTTATTTCTACCATTCTTCAATTCTGAAGAGTCAGACTCAAATTTAAATGTTGACTCACCTTCTCACTGCCAGGCCTGCTCAGTTATATCCAGCACTTTGTTTTCATTTCAGATACCAGAAGCTGCTAATGATGGTTACTACCTACCCTAGTAAGTAGTCAGCATCTTTAGCACAGAAGAGATATTCTAGTCTTTTGTAGCATTTAAGTTCGTGTTTACAGAGAAAAATATTTATTCAAATTCAAGGTGAATTACTGTCAGATTTGATTGTTTCCAATCTCGGTCACGTTGCTGAGGGTGCACTCTTCCTAGTAGCCTCTTGGATGTGACATTCATGGTGAACTGCATGTATATACTCCTGGCTCCAATCAGTTCAAATTCAGGAGGTGAAAAGCAAAAGAACATAGGATTTTAATCACAAACAAAATTTATCCAGCCACCAACTGCCTGATGAGTAATCTTTAATGAATTATTATTTTTAGTTATTGAGGTAAGAGTGGAATATAAACACAAGGATGATGATTTGAACAAATGGCCTTTTTTTAATAAAAATTGAATTATGGGAAGCAAGCTTGATTATCATTCTTTGGCATCACATCATTGTTAGAAAATGTACACCATTATCTTCTGAGGTACACAAGAAAAGCTGTGTCTTATTCTGAAAAGACTCAGGCGGAGTGTTTACAAAAATTATTTCAAGTGCCATTCTAAATTCAGCTTTCATTCAAAACTTATGCAGAAAGCAATTTTAGTTGATCGGATCATTTATGTTGTGTTCCTGGAGCAATCTACGTAGTCTCTCAACTTCTTGTGTCTACAAAAGGAATTTGACAAGTCAGAAACAATTTATTTTAAAAACAAACGACCTTTGTAAGGTGGATGATCTTACCAGTTGAGTGCATTCATTCTGGAGCTCACCAATTCTCCGGTTGAGGTGGGTGTTTGCATGTTTAAGCTCAGTTTCTTTCTTTACTGCACGTGACTTCACAGTCATCAGGATTCCTATAGTGAGTTAGAAACGCTACTAAATGTACCGAATGGTCAGTTTATTCAGCATTAAAGTTTAACTATTGACTGATTAATATAGCTTTCCTGGCCTAGTGGCTGAATTCAACTGTTTAAGGTGTCAAGACAAAAGAAATCCATCTCCCTTTTCCAAATTTTGTATCAACCCATTTAAAGATATTCAATTATGAACCGTACCATTTATTATTCTTGCCACTCTCCACAGTCGAAGCAGTATAAGTAAGCCCACGCCATCAAAAGCATCTTCCCGGGAGATGTAGACAATATCAAGAATGAAAGATACAATAACAATTACTGCATCCAGGACTTCAAACTTGTGCCAGAAAAATTCCAAACGGAAGGCATATAATTTACCAATCAGCTCCAATATAAAGAAAGTCAAAATAGCAATACTCAGGTAGTGAAATACCTGGAAAAGAAGGAACATTTGTTAAATCTGCAGTCAAATAACAAATGAAATAAAACACGTGATTTAATATGTTTAGAAAATCATTTTTAATGTAGCATTTTAGAAATTAATATGACTATCTCAAATTAATTTCCATATGTTTGTCAATCCACTGAAAACTATTTTTGTATTAGGTTATACCTTCCTTAATGGCTATGTACATAAACGTCCCAGTCGCTTGTAGTTCAATTTCAAGTATGGGCTAGTAGATGTTTGTAGAGAGAGGAAGTGGCAGTATTCCCCAAGGATTTTGTAGCCGATTGCTATATAACACCATCTGAAACTTAATGGTTGACGCCTGGCCTTGATTTTCATTAAACCAGAGACACCTCTGCTGAAGCAAGAAAGCTGTCAGGAATCCCAAGTCCCTGAAATCAATATTTCACTTTCACAAGGGCAGTCTATTGTTTATGCATACCTCCTTCCCAGAGGTAGCTGGTCATTTACACTTACATGAACAACTGCTTCCACTGGTCAGATTTTGGAGTCCCTGGTCTCTGGAACCTTGATTGTAGACTAGGCCAGCACGGGTGTCCTCAGTGCATATCTTTTGAATAGCTAGATTATCCCTTTGGAGAGCTGAGGTACCCCTGCAGATATCCATCCTAGGACAGCTTGGGGGTGAGCACCAGATATCCTTTGAGGGTTGGGTTCAGTGGCCCTTTCAGACTGTTAACTCTAGAGAAGATTGTGCGTAGATCCCTGGAACTGTGCAAGATCTCAGCACATATTTTTATGCATAGATGTACTTTTCTCTAAGAGTACAGTGTGCAATGTCCAATGTAGAACTATATATTTTTTTTCTCCTATCCACATGGCTGCTTGTGGGTACTCACTGAGTTAGCATGGTAGGTGAAGGGGAAATTGTGGAAGTATGCACTAAGTTGGGAGTGGGGTATAAGGGGTCATGGGGTTGGATACAGCGCATTAGATTGCGTGGGGTGGATGTGTTGCAGGTGAATGTTTTACCTTTATCCTCTTCTAGACAGGCAAGATACTACTTTGAATCTAACTCTAGGGCATGTTTGATGACGGAGCAAAAACTGACGGCTTCGTGTTTAGATCTGCACACAAGGACAGGTCTCCCGAAGATAACAAGAGCGAGCTACAAACGCTCATGAAACCATTTGTCAGCATGAATTTCTGTCAGTGAAGGAAGGGAAGTATAGAATAGACAGAAGGACCAAGTCAAAAGGCCAGAGTAAGTGTGTTGCAAGCAGAATCAGGGAAAAATATACAAGTGCAAAGATCTTCAAATTAATATGTTGGGTAAACGGGGAACAAAGTGAAGACAAACGAAAGTAAGGACTGTTTTAGGATAGGATGCAGACAGTCAAGAATTGACTTTTTTGTCACTGGGTTCAACCTGAGAAAAGTATCAGAAGGACGGAATTATGTACTAATGTGGGAGAGTGTTTGGCAGGAGCTAAACAGGATCATTTCAGTCTTAGTGGAGTTTGAAAAATTTTTGTTCATTCCCCAAGTTGTTAGACGAGGTGTAGGACGACATTGATGATTTTGAAATCAAGGGCAACAGTAACTAGATAACGCAGGAAGTTGACCCCATACATAATTGATAATATTTACTCAGGGATAGTATATACCCAAGGAAAAGTAGGATAATAATGGAACTAAACATTTGTGAAACAATAGATCAAGATAAAAGCTGGTGTGCTGGCTATGTTGGCGCAAGTAAAGGCTGAGGCACAAGAGGACCAGAGGAACTGTAGCCATTAAAGATTGAACAGACTGGACCAATGTTCTCTGAAGAATGAGAAGTGATATTATTCAAACGTACAAAATTACTGTAGGGATTGACAGGCTAGAGACAAGAATTACATTTCCCATGTCTGGGAGATACAGAACCAGGGGATGTGGTCTCAGGTTAGGGGATCTGCCATTTATGAACGAGACAGGGAGGAAATTCTTCACTCAGTGGATGGTGAAATTTTGTAATTCTTTATCCCAGAGGACTGTATCATAGAAATCTATCAATCTCAGTCTTAACATATGTTATGTATTAAAAGCATCGTGATAAAAGAGATCATACACAAAAGTGGTGTTAAAGTAGAAGATCAGCCATGAACTCATTAAATAGCTCCAAGGTCTGAATGGGCTACTGCTGTTCCATTTTTTAATGTTTACATGTTCTTATTAAATCCTTTAAACCTGTACTACCACATATTTTGGCTTATCTTACCTCAACTCCATTTGCCCATCTTAGTTCTTTTATCTTTGATACCCTTACCCAAGAAAAATCTATTGATCAGTCTTGAAAGCTTTAATGTTCTAGTATCCACAGCCTTTTGGGGAAAGATAATTCTAGACTTTGTAAAGAAATGCTTCCCAATTTTATTATAAATGGCCAGGCTCTCCCTTTAAGATAATGCCCTGTCATTCTTAATTGTACCCCTCCCCAGAGGAATGGTTTCTTTGTAGCTCCCTGTTGATTCCTTTTAACATCTTTTAAAGCACCTCTCTCAGATAACCACATTATCTTCTATACTAAAAAGGAAATACCAGCCAAATGTATGCAATTTATCATGATAATTCAATCCTCAAGTACGCGAAAAATTATTGGATACCCTCCTTTGGAAAGGGAATTTAACTTTTTTCAAAAAAATACTGGCCTCAGAATAATTCAAGCAGATTACACTCAAAATTGACATTTTGCATTGTCAAACATGACATCTCATCAAAATGGCCAGGGCTACAACAACTGGACAGTGAATTCCCTGTGACTCCTCATCCGTAATGACATCATTGCCTGGCTCTACATAGTCTTGTACAGCACTAGCCTAAGGATCATTGGTTAAATTGGGAACTCTGGCCAATTTTTCTCCCTCTAAACCCCTGTCACAGGCAAAATTGAGATCAACCAACTCATATTTAACAGTATCAAAGCCTAATATTTCTGATTATAATAAGTCAGCCACAATCAAGGTCAACATCATCCAGGGCAAAATAGCCCGTGAGATTGGCACATGCACAAAAAAATCCATTCCCTCCCATCAGTGGTGCTCAGCAGCAGCATGTACTGTCTTACAAGGTGCACCACAGAAATTTGCCGAAGATTCTTGGAACGCACCTTCCAAACCCATGACCACCTCCATCTTGAAGGAGGAGGGCAGCAGATACATTGGAAGACTACCACCTGCAAGGTCACCTCAAAACCACTTATCATTCTGACTTAGAAACAGTTCACTGTTCCTTCACTGTCGCTGGGTCAAAATCCTGGAATTCCCTTCCTAAGGGCATTACGGGTCTACCTACAGCACATGGACTACAAGCGGTTCAAGAAGGTAGCTAACCACCACCTTCTTAAGGCCAATTAGGAACAGGCAATAAATGATGGCCAACCAGCGATGCCCACATTCCATAAGTAAATTTTAAAAATTCATAAATACAGGACCACAAAGAGACTGAATTCCAGTGCTTTAACCTTAAAATGACTATTGACTAATGCATATGAATTCCAAAATGTGGACTCCCTTCTTAGTTTTTTTTTATTTGGTGACTTCCAAGATTGATTATTTGGTGGATGAAAGATACATTTAAGAAGTTGTGTTGTTATTGACAATGTTATTAATTTTTAGATAGAACAGGATGTGAAAAACCTGATGAGGTGCCCATGTGATTATCAAAGTTTCAAATACATTCATTAATTGGCACTGCTTTAGTTAATTGTTGTTTTACAACTTTTAATATGCTCTCCAATTTCAATTATCTAAAGCAAAAAAATTGCAAGGCTCCAGGGAAAGGATAAGGTGAACCAGGCATGTTCTTTCAAAAAGCCCACACAGACAATAGACAAAATGGCTTCCTCTATGCTACAACCATTGTATTGATTCTATTCTATAATTTGTTCATATTATTTCATGTTTCATTCCATTCTGTTTCTTCTTGTTAGTTGACATTTCACCCATATGACTTCAGGCTTTCTGAAAACATCTACATTCGCTAACCTCAGGGTGAGACTTGTATTTGCAAAATTACATGCAACTCTGAACAGCAATAAGTCAAAATTTCTTTAATGATGCTACATGTAATCCAAAAGAAACTATAGGTACATCAGTATATTTAAAGGAACATTGTGTGACTTTTGTGATATGTAATGCATTTCTGCATGGGTGTGCGATGAATGCAACTTCATGTGGTCTGATCTTTACTACACAATGGTGTTCATTAAGAATTAGGTTCAGGGAGGAAGATTCTCTTGGAAAGTATTCATCTTTATTGCTATTCTGTGATGGTGATACAGGCAGGATATGTACTCTGATTAATTGGTAAATGAACTTGCAAAGCAGGCAAAATTAACAGTGAAGCTGTAATGAATTAGATTTGAAAAATGATCTGATCATGAATAAAGGCTGCTTATAAATTGCATTGAACGTACTTGGTATGATTTATTTGTTCATTTGTGATCCCATTAAATTTAAGTGGAATGAAATAGCTATTCAATTATGGTTACACAGTCCAGAAGAATTCACTGTGTTTGGGCTAACTTTCTATCAGAACAACCAAAAGCTAATCCTGTTCCTAGACACTTTCTGTGCTTCCCTTAACCACAGCCTGTGGAAGAGCTATAACAATTTTCCCCATTCAAAATGGCTCAATCTTTCAGTATTATTATTTTAATTTCAATAGCCATTTACAAAATCCTCAGTAAATATTCTTTTCCTGTTTAAACTATAAAAATGTGATCATTTTAAACAAAAATATAAATTGCTGGAGAAACTTAGCAGGTCTGGCAGCATCTGTGGGCAGAAGGCAGAGTTAATGTTTCAAGTTCAGTTACCCTTCTTCAGGGATTGTTTAATAACCTCTCAAATTTTCTCTTGGTCTTTGCTACTCTAGTGCAGAACTAGAGCTTTTTGAAATAACTAGTTTCTTATTCCTTTCATCATCCTGGTCAATCTACTCTGTCTGCTTTATGGCATCAATGTCCTCTGTTCAATATATAACCTAACTAACCATTGCCTTGTAGTAATTTATTATTACTTTTTAAAAAAACCTCATTTCATGCCAACATTTCACAGTAGAAGTCCATCTTTGTTCATCTTACAACATTTCCCCACCTGGTAAACTTAAAAAGCTGAAAAAGACCAATAAACTAAATATACTTTAAATCACTGATAGTAGATGAGTTAATAGAACATCAGTAATGGGATCTGTTCATCTAACTCTACATCATTTCCATTGCAAAGACTTGCACATTATTAACATCATCTTCCTTCTGAAGTCTTCATCCGTGTCTGTCACCTTCAGACTCAAATATTATAACTTCAGCTCATGCAAACTTCTCTTATACCCTCATCCTCATTACCACACCATTCTATCCACAAGACCTAAAATTTAAAATTCTCATCATGTGGTTTTAAACCCCTTCATGGTCTTATTCTTCCTCAACTCTCTAAGTTGCTCAATCTCCACAAATTTGCCAGCCTAGATCCCAAATATTTTGATCCTCTGACTCCAGCGTTTTGCATCTCCCATCGCTTCACCCCAACCATTAGCCATTGATGTCTCAAGCAACTGAATTTATCTCTAAACCTTGCCGCCACTCTGCATCTTTCACCTTTAACGAAACTTTAAAATATATAAATATAACTTATTGCTATTAAAATTGACATAAATGGATTTGATCATACCTGAGGCGCTATTTTCTCTTTGTCCACTTCAATGACTGCTAAATCCATCAGCAATTCACACAGTACAAACAATGCATCCAGAATGACTAAACACACAACGGCAATCTGTTTTAAATAAAACATTGAAAGTAAGTGCACTGTAGGAGCAGGTACAGCAGACACGGCCATAGCACATTATTTGCAGTAAATTCTATTCAGAGCAGGTTCTTAACATCTTTAGTACAGTTAAATGTAACTTTTTGTCACTACCTTGCCTGCCTGGAAACAGGTTGTCCAGTTTGCAAACAGCCTTTGTCTAACATATGTGCAATACATTGTTGTTTCACCCATGTAAAGAATGACAATAGCAAAGTGTATCCCTTTACTTAAAGGACTCAAAATGTGAATTTCATGACATTTCTCATTTTATTTCACTAATTAAGTAATGTGATAGTTTGACAGTTACCAGTGGCTGACTTTAGCAATTAAAGAAGAGAGTTGTAGCTGGTCTGTGGAGTAAACAATCAGAATTCCAAAATTTTATTTTGTTGGTGCAGCTTACTATTTTAAAATTTCTCAAAAGGAATACAAATTTTCAGACTGGAGGCCTGTGACCAGCAGCGTGCCACAAGGATTGGTGCTGGGTCCACTGCTTTTTGTCATTTATATAAGTGATTTAGAATATGAACATAGGAGGTCTGGTGAGTAAGTTTGCAGATGACACCAAAATTGGAGGTGTAGTGGACAGTGAAGGTTACCTCAGAGTACAACAGGATCTTGATCAGATGGGCCAATGGGCCATGGAGTGGCAGGTGGAGTTTAATTTACATATATGTGAGGTGCTGCATTTTGGAAAAAGCAAATCAGGGCAGGATTATACACTTAGTGGTAAAGTTCTGGGAAGTGTTGCTGAACAAAGAGATCTTGGAGTGCAGGTTCATAGCTCCATGAAAGTGGAGTCACAGGTAGATAGGATAGTGAAGAAGGCGTTTAGTATTTTTATTGATCAGTGCATTGAGTATGGGAGTTGGTCAGTCACGTTGCAGCTGTACAGGACATTGGTTAGGCTACCATTGGAAGGATTTTGTGAAAGTAGAAAGGGTTCAGAAAAGTTTTACAAGGATGTTGGAGGGTTCAAGCTATAGGGAGATGATGAAAAGGCTGGGGCTATTTTCCCTGGAGCGTCAGAGGCTGAAGGGTGACCTTACAGAGGTTTATAAAATCATGAGGGGCATGGATAGGGTAAATAGGCAAGGTATTTTCCCTGGGGTGGGGGAGTCCAAAACTAGAGGGCATAGGTTTAAGGCGAGAGGGGAAACATATAAAAGGGACCTAAGGGGAAAATTTTTCACGCAGGTGCTATGTGTATGGAATGAGCTGTCAAAGGAAGTGGAGGAGGCTGGTACAATTACAACATTTAAAAGGCACCTGGATGGGTATATGTATAGGAAGGATTTAGAGGCATATGGGCCAAATGCTGGCAAATGGGACTAGATTTACATAGGATGGCTGTTCAGCACGGATGACTTGCACTAAAGGGTCTGTTTCCGTTCTGTATATCTGTCTGACTCTATAACTGATAAAGCTCAGCCTTTGAAAGCTTAGCCTGTCCAGTGTGGGCCTGTTGGTTACTTTGCTCTAGTTTTTATGGTTCCTGAAGCATATATGTGGAACATCATACTGCCACTGATGCATTACTGCAAGAATAAATTCATGTCAAAGAAATTTAAAGAATTTTGGGCTACAAAACAACTAATTAAAATTTTTAAAAAAAATCAAATTGTAACCCTCCAAACTCTGTAAATAAAGCAGGTAATAATAGTTATGTCAATTTACCGTCCAGCCATAAACCACTTGTGCTTCCTTCCCACAACATTACCTGATCAACCCATTTCTTGTACATTAACTGCTGCCCATAAATGACCTTCATCTCTACAAATTTCAAAGTCCAGAAAACCCAATCTTTACACGATTCCAATAGTTACACAGGATCCAAACTAGTTTACAAAGACCCAAAATTCAAAATCAGTTTCAATAGCAATGTTATATATTAAATAAAATTATGCTTGAATCTGGCAGTGATATTTATTCAACAATGCTGTTCCTTAATTGTGAATGCAAATGAAACAAAATAACTTTCTTACTGGCAGTATCCATGGTGATATTATGCTCAAAACATGACATGTTCACATAGTTCCTGAATAGACTACAACAATGTTCCACATTCAAGTTATGTGGGGATGTCAAAACCACAGCAAAGCTCTGTTATAATCCTACATTCGACTTGCTAATTTAATCATAAAACTGTTCACAAATTTTGACCTCCTGATTCTTTTAACTGTGTGCATAAAGAGAGAATTTGATCAAATTAAATAGGGCAATGAGGACATTAAATATTGCAAAGATAATCTACCCAAAAGACAATTCACACATTGTCATGGATTCAGTCCCAATAATTTTATCACCTGATGGAAGTGCATAACAAGAAACAGCCTTGCTCCAACTCCTAAAAATTGATCAGACACCAGCAAAGTAGTCTAATATTAGATTGGACAATCTTCAACGTTGACCTTAGAGTCCACAATTTTAATAGAGTAATTTGGATAAATGCAAGGTATTGCATTTTGGTAAAACAAACAAAGGCAGGACTTATACAATTAAAAGTAGGCCTTGGGTACTGTTGTAGAACAGATGGTTCAGATACATAATTCTTTGAAGTTTGCATCATATATTGACAGAGTGGTTAAGGCAGTGTTAGCGTGTTTGCCTTCATTGCTCAGACCTTCGAGTATGGGAGTTGGGACGTTATGTTGAGGTTGTACAGGTCATTGGTGAGGCCTCTTCTGGAGTACTGTGTCCAGTTCTGGTCGCCCTGTTATAGGAAAAATATCTTTAAGCTGGAGAGGATTCAGAAGAGATTTACCAGGATGTTGCCAGGAATGGAGAGTTTGGATTATAAAGGAGTGACTGGTTAGACTGGGATTCTTTTCACTGGAATGTAGGAGTTTGAGGGGTGACCTTACAGAGGTTTATAAAATCATGATGGGTGCAGATAAGGTGAATGTAGGTGTCATTTCCCTAGTGTGGGAGATTTCACGACTAAGGGGTACATTTTTAAGGCAAGAGGAGCAAGATTTAAAAAAAGACATGAGAAGCAATTTTTTTTCCCTCCACAGAGAATGGTTCATGTGTGGAATGAACTGCCAGAGGAAGTGGTAGATGCGGGGACAGTTACAACATTTAAAAGACATTTGGATAAATACGTGAATAAGAAATGTTTGAGAGATATGCACCAAGCACAGGCATGTGAGACTAAATAAAAACCGAAAGAACTGCAGATGCTGTAAATCAGAAACAAAAACAGAAGTTGCTGGAGAAGCTCAGCAGGTCTGGCAGCATCTGTGAAGAAAAAGTCAGAGTTAATGTTTCAAGTCTAGGTGACCCTTCCTCAGAACGGACCCAAAACGTTAACTCTGACTTTTTCTTCACAGATACTGCCAGACCTGCTGAGCTTTTCCAGGAACTTCCATTTTTGTTGTGGCAAGTGGGAATAGTTTAGTTTGGGATTATAGTCGGCATGGACTGGTTGGACCAAAGGATCCAGTTGCCCTTGTGAAGGTGGTGGTGAGCTACCTTTTGAACCGCTGCGGTCCATGTACTGTTACGGAAGGAGTTCCAGGATTTTGACCCAGCAACAGCGAAGAAATGACGATATATTTCCAAATCAAGATCGGTAGTGGCTTGGAAGGAACTTGCAAGTGGTGGTGTTCCCATGTATCTGCTGTCCTTGTCCTTCTAGATGGTAGTGGTCATGGTTTTAATGTTACTATTTGAATTCAAATAGAACTGGCTCAGGATCCTTGGTGAACTTCTGCATTGCATTATATAAATGGCACATTCTACTGCTCAGTAACGGAGGGAGTGAATTTTTCTAATGGTGGTGCATATCAAGAAGGCTACTTTGAGTCATAAAGGTCAACAGCACAGATTAAAGTCTCTTCAGCCCATTGAGGCTGCGCTGGTCAAAAACACCTAACTATTCTAATCCTATTTTCCAGCACTTGGCCCATAGCCTTGTATGCCTTGGCTCTGATGGTGTCATATTTCTCGTGTTGTTGGAGCTGCATTCATTTACGCAATGGGCGAGTATGCCATCTCACTCCCGACTTGTGCCTTGTAGATGGTGGACAGGCTTTGGGGACGCAGGAGGCGAGATACTCACTGCTATATTCCTAGCCTCTGACCTGGTATTGTAGCCACTACATTTAGATGGCTAGCCCAGTTCAGTATCTGGTCAATGACAACCCCCAGGATTGGAGGATTCAGTGACAGTAATGTCGTGGGACAGTGGTTAGATTCTCTCTTGTTGGAGATGGTCATTGCCCGGCATTCCATGGCCCGAACATTACTTGTTACTTGTCAGTCCAAGCCTTGCTGTTGTTCAGGACATGGACTGCTTCAGTATTGGAGGAGTCACAAAAGGTGCTGAACATTGTGCCGCCATAAATGAACATCCCCTCATCTGACCTTATGATGGAGGGAAGGTTATTGATGTTGTAGCTGAAGATTGCTAGGCCTAGGACACTACCCTGAGGAACACCTGCAGCGATGCCCTGTAGCTGAGATGACTGACCTCCGATAACCATCATTTTCTTTTGTGCTAGTTATAACATCAACCAGTTTTCCTTTCATTCCCATTGACTCTAGTTTTGCCAGGGCTCCTTGATACCATACTCTGTCAACTATGACTTTGATGTCAAGTGCTGTCAGTTTCACCTCACTTTGAAAGTCAGCTCTTTCGTCCATGTTTGAACCAAAGGCTGTAATAAGGTCAGGAGCTGAATGGCTCTGGCAGAACCCAGACTGGTCAGTGAGCAGGTTATCACTATTCAAGTGCTGCTTGACAGTACTGTTGATGACACTTTCTATCTCTTTAGTAATGATTAAGGGTAGATGGATGGGGTCGTAACTGGCTGGGTTGGATTTTTCTTATATTTTATGAATAGGACATACCTGAACAATTTTCCACATTGGTCGGGCAGATGCCAGTGTTGTAGCTGTACTGGAACAGTTTGGCAAGGTGTGTGTCAAGTTCTGAAACATCAGTCTTCAGAACTATTGCTGGTATATTCTCAAGCCCCATAACCTCTGCAGAAATGAGTCTCTTCAGTCACTTCTTGACATTAAATGCAATGTATTGAATTGCTGTGTCCTCTGGAGGAGGCCAAGAAAGATCATTAACTCAGCACTTCTGGCTGAAGACTGCTTAGCCTCATCTTTTGCACAGTGTGCTGGGCTCTTCCATCACTGAGGATGGGGATTTTGTGGATCCTTCTCCTCCTCCTCCTCCAGTGAGTTGTTTCATTGTTCACCACCATTCACAACTGGATGTGGTAGGACTGCGGAGCATAGATCAGATCCGTTCGTTGTGGAATCTCTTAGTGCTGTCTATCATTTGCTGCTTATGCTGTTTGGCATGCAAGTTGTCCTGATTTGTAACTTTGTCAGATTGACACCTGATTTTTAGGCATGCCCCTCCTGCGTTCTACACTGAACCAGGGTTGATCCCCTGGCATGCTGTTAATGGTTGAGTGAGGAATATGCTGGGCCACAAGGTTGCAGAGAGAACAGTAGAAGTGATAATCAACAAGCAGATTTCTCGCCCCTGTCTGTCCTAATCCCATGAGACTTTGTGGATTCTGAACTCAAGTGGAGTTCTCCCAATGCAACTCCCTCTCAACTGTACATCACTGTGCCACCACCTCCATCTGTCCATGCCCATGGGACAGGAAACACCCAGGAATAGTGATAGCATTGTCTGGGGCATTGTCCGTAAGGAATTGTTCCATGAATGGGATGATACCAGGCTGTTGCTCGACTATCCTGAGAGGCAGCTTTCCCAATTTTCGTACTGGTCCCAGATGTTAGTAAGAAGGAGTCTGAAGGGTTGACAGGGCTGTGTTTACCCTAGCTGATGCTCGGCAGTCCTTCTGATTTCATTCCTTTTTTGTGACTTTCTGTGATTGACTGCCTTGCTAGGCCATTATGAAGGCAGTTAAAAGTCCACCTGTGGGTCTGGAGTCACATATAGGCCAGACAGGGAAGAATGACAATTTTCCTTTCCTAGAAGGATATTAGAAAACCAGATGGGACTGAGAGAAGAAATTCCTCCTCATTTCGGTCTTAAATTGAAGGTTTTTTTTTTTTTTAAAAACTGTGCCTCCTAGGGGTGAACTCCCCACAAGAGAAACATCCCAGGGTTTAACCCAGTCAAGCCCCCTTAGAATCTAATTTGGTTCAACATGACTTATTCTTCTAAATTCCATTAAGTATAGACCCCAACCTTCCCTTGTATGTCAAATCCCGTCCAGTGCAGGAATTGGCCTCATGAACATTCTCTGAACTGCTTCCAATGCAGGGTTCATTGGAAATGCAAAACTGCACACACTGTAGGTGAGGTTTCACTAATCTCTTATACACTTGTAGCAAGACTTCCTAATTACTTGCTGTATCTGCTTGCTTTTTTTTTGTGACTCTTGTACATGGTCCCCAGATTGTCTGTACCACAGCATTCCACAATACCCTCAACATTGTGAGCACTTATCTTGTGTAGCAATCTTTTACGTGGGACCTTCTCAAATGTCTTTTAGAAATCCAAAGATGCTACATCCACAGGATTCCCTTCATTCACTCTGCTTTCTACCTCCTCAAAAAAATTAAAATAAATTTGTCAAACACGATTTCCCTTTCACAAAACCATGCTGACTCTGATTGCTGTATAATTTTCTAAGTGTCTTGTAACTGACTCCTTAATAGTGGATTCTAGCATTTTATAGTTTCTACTTTGCATCTCCTTTTTTTGCTGACGGGTGGTATTATTTCATGGTTTTCCAATTCACTGGGTCCTTTCCAGAATCGAGGAAATTTGTGGCAGGTTACAACCAATGCATCCACCATCTCTGCAGGCACTTCTTTTAAAACCCTAAGATTTCAGCCTGCAGGTGCTGGGGGCTTGTCAGCCTTTCATCCCCTTAGTTCTCCTCATACCTTTTCTCTAGTGATAGTGATTGTTTTAATTTCTTCTGTCCCTTTGACTCCTGATTTTCTTAAAATCTTGAGGCTTCCAGTTTCTTCCACTCTGAAGATGCAAAAATATTCACGCCAGACTTAGGGCAACAGGACTTTGAATAGCTCAGTCAACTCTGATGTTAATGTCTAATCAATTTTTATTTAAGCACAACCAACTTTTATTAAACTTAATTTAAAAAAAAACAAACCATTTAATTTGCATCACTGTAGGGACGTTGTAATATTAACTTACTGATTTATAACAGCCTGTGGAACTTGTTTCTTGCTTTTAGATGATAGCTGTACATGCTTTTATTCCAAATGGAAGGTTTAGTGAAAGAATAAATAATATAAAGGACATTTTAAATCATTGTTCCATCTGCATTAGAGGCCACCAATGTAGTCTCATGAAGACACAAAACGTATTGTTCGAGGCCAGTGATATTTTTGTTAGCTTGCCATGGTTAACCACATATAGATAACCACCTCTAATGAATAAACCAGCATGAATAATTCTGTCAGGGATAGTAAGAACTGCTGATGCTGGAGTCAGAGATAACACAGTGTAGAGCTGGAGGAACATAGCAAGCCAGGCAGCATCAGAGGAGCAGGAAAATTGACTTTTCGGGTCGGGACCCTTCTTCACAAAATTTTCAACCCGAAACGTCAGCTTTCTTGCTCCTCTGATGCTGCCTGGCCTGCTGTGCTCCTCCAGCTCCACATGTGTTATCTCTGAATAATTCTATCACTTTTTTTTAAATAACTTGTGAAGCTAACATTTTATAGAATGTGCAACAATTCCGCAATCCTAATTTTATTGTATATGTATTAAAATATAATTTCAGAAATTATATCCCTTAACGAGACATACAGTACAATAGTTGATATTTATTAGTATTAAATTTAAGACTGTACCTGAAAATTGTTTGAATTAAATAACCATTTGAGAGCATCCCTGAAAGTTAATCCAGATGGAAAGTTTTTTTCATTAGCATCTGTTAGATCATCATGGCTTTCTTCTTCTTGCCACTTTTGGTAATCATCGCCCACAGTGGTGAAGTATTTTAGGAAGTTTGCCATCAGTGCTTTTACAAAAATATCAGTCCTATAAAACCAGGAGATAAAATTATTCAAAATGTGTGAACATATCTCCAGAGTATGTCAAAAAAATTCAAGAGCAATTCTGGTTTCAGATAATACAGTACTCTTAACTCATGATGGTTATAATAGTCAATAATAATGAATGGCTTTGAGTAATTCAGGTTCACTTTGTAACCTCCAAACCTTTCCAAAACCATTTTCAAAATGTAAAGCTTTATTTAAAAAAACACATCATACCTTAAATCAAGATCGCTGTAATGTGCAAAATAATTGAGTGTTTGTGCGAAATAATACACAGAATCACATCTGTGTTCTAGTGCAGAAGGAGGTCATTCTGCCCATCATATCTACACTAGCTCTTAAAATGAGCACTACATACTACCAGTCTCTTGCTTTTTCACCATACTCTTGAATATTATTTATGTCCAAATAACCATCAAAGACACTCTTGAATTCTTCAATTGAACCTGCCTCTGCCACATTTCCAGGCAGTGCATTCAGACTCTAACTACCTCCCATGCAGAAAAGTTTTTCTCAGCTCATATTTTCTCATATTGCAACTCATTTTAAATCTGTGCCCTCTAGTTCTTGATATATTTATAAGGGGGACCGGTTTCTCCCTGCATATGCCTTCACCCTCATGATCATCTTCTGAGCCATCTTTTCTCCAAGAAGAACAATCCTAACTTCTTCAATCTACCGTCATAACTGAAATTTCTCATGATTTACCATTCAGGGTTTCTTTTTCCTCTCTTTTGGGAGATTCTGCCTCCAATGCCACCTTTTCTCCGTCTGAGTCTTTTCACAAAAAAGGAATTTATGAAATGTAAACCAGCATTCGACCTCCCTGAAGTTCATGAAAATCTGGAAGGCGAGGCGGGGTTCAGGTTACAGGAAGGTGAGTGGGGGGGGGAAGCTGAAGAGAAAAGCGGGGGGGAGCAAGACAGAGAGGAAGGGAGGGTCGGGGAGGGCAGAAGAGACAGAGAAAGGGGAGGGTTGGGTGGAAGTGACAGAGAAAGGTGGTGGTGTGGGATGAGGGGGTGGGGTGGGAGAAGGGGAGAGGGCGAGGGGGGACGGAAGAGACGGAGGGGGGACGGAAGAGACGGAGGGGGGACGGAAG